CTACAATACCTCCACTTTTACTTCGTAAAGCTAAAATTTTTGGAAAATGCATAAATCAAACAAGAATTGACTAAGTTAGAGTGAATTATGAATGAAATGAATTTTTAATATAAACTTTCACTTTTCCTTGCATTCTAGGTCTAGCTTAGTTATCACTGAGAATGTCATTAAACCTCTAGAGAGGTAATAGCAATTGTGAAGAGATTACTAAATCAAATATGATATAGAGTCATGTTATATTTTAAATCAAGAAAAATTATATAAGGTATTCAAAATTTTCATATTGTAAAAAAGCCCATATGGCTTTTTAAATTTTGCATAAAAATAAGCCCATAAGAAGTTTTAGAGAATGCTCCCTATATTATATTATAGGAAATCAATAAGAAATTTATAAGAAACTTCATTAATATAGTGAATATGTGTTAATTATAACTATATTGGTCATAACACCCATAATCAATTTCTCCTAATTTTTTTAAAGAGTTTTAGCAAAAACATTTTTTAGACACCCCAAGGTCTATTGGTGATATATTGTCCATTTTCAAATGTTTAATGTCAATAAAATAAATCACACCTACATATGTTTTGTAATATAAATAAAGTAAGTAACAGATAATTCAATGTTTTGCCATCTAAAGCATGAGCAAGACTATGTTAATATGTTTAGTTTAGAACACACTCTTATGTTTGTATTTCATATATAATAAGACCCAAATGCATAACAGCATTGTTGTAAGTATTATAAGAAAACTTTTATATATTTTTCACTAGCTTACCATATATCTCAAAAAAATTTAATTGATGATCAAAAAACTACTTGGTCTTAAATGTGCTTAATTATTGCAAGGAGAAGGCATATATTAAGCTTTAAGTAATCATACATTCAAAGACTTAAAGATATCACTTGTTCAATGTTCAAATTATTATCATTAAAAATTAAAACTATAATCACTCAATACTTTAGCTCTACAGTATTTAGCACCTAAAAAGTACCATCTAGATTTGTACTATGAATTTTTACTATCAGATCATCAAAATTTGAAGGTGCCAAAATCAACTCTTACATGTAAAGTAATGTTAAATGGAGTTTTACATAATTTTAGCATATTAATAGCTTAATAGAAGGAGGTGGGCACCCCACTAATTAACATGGTATGGAGGTTGAGCTTAGATTTAAGTTGGATGAGGAATAAGAAGTGATACAACCTAGCAAGAGCCAAATTAATGCCTTAAATAGTTGCTTCTAACCACTATTTTTATTAGCCTTGAAGAACAATGAAACTAGGACCTCAAAGCCATCCACGATTGTAGACCATACTTAGAAACATTTGTTACCTCATGAATCAATTCCTCCACTGATAATAGTATGAAAAGTGGGGATACCATAGTTTCAAAACCACTCCTCACTACTAATGTCCCAAGACTTGTAACCTATTACTGCAGCAATAATCTAGTGTGGAAGCCTTGAGTAGGTCTGACTAGCTCCTACCCTCAAGAGCCAAGAGGAGGAGCAAGACTACTCATATGCATACAGTTGTCACAGCCCTACCTTTACTCTCCCCTACTAAGGCTAAAATGAATTGGGCAGTATTTACTACTATAAGGAGCAATTGCTGAATTTTATAGGTTGCTTGATTATTAGGGCATCTTTCAGCCCCAATTGTGGATCCATCCTTCACACACACACACTCACAAAATCACAACTCTAAACTCAAGCACAAAAGAAAATGGGGTGGAACCCTATGCTCAAGCTTCTCATGGGTTTATATACAAGAATGAGGGAATATTCCAAAGATATGGAAT